TGCTGACTTCTTGCCCCTGGGGCAGGGGGCTGGACTCGATGATCTTCTGAGGTCCCTTCCAGCCCTAATGTCTATGAAATCTATTCAGCTTGAAACTGCAATTTATCAATTAATAAATACAGTCTATTCGAGGGAGCTTGGTAGGAAGAGATACAGAAAAGCTGAAATTGAAGAGCCCAACATGACTGGCAGCTTAAGTCAAAACACCTACAGTGAGATACATATTCATGATATGGCAGCATGGAAGAATTCTGAAGTATAAAAGTAAATAAGCGCTTGAAACTTGTTCTTGATTGTCCATGGTAGTCAACCCAGGGCTTTTAAAAACCAGCCCACGCTTCTTTCACTTTGCATATGTATTAAATTTATTCTAAGGCTTCAGAAACAAAGTAGAAAAAAAATTAAAAGATCTGTTTTTCTTCCATAAGAGCCTTAACAGCATATCACAGATTGAAGCAGAGAGAGATGCATTTAACATAAAGAGCAGTTTATTTTTACCTTGTGCATCTATTAACATTCGTAACGTTCCCAGAAGCTTGAATTGAACAGGGGGCATTTCAGATCTGAGAAATTTCAACACTGCTTCTGCAACGCCAGCTGATAGCATCTTAGCCTTATTTACAACTGCATGAAGAAGAAGAGAAATTATATCAAAATGCTTTTGATGATATTCTTTACTTCCAAGACAGACAGTCCTCATGCAATTTTGTCACATGGGCTGAAAAACAGCATATTAGTGTGAACCTTGTATAAAGGTGTACACATGTGCACAGGTACTGAATAGATTTAATATGAATATTCTTTTTTTGGCTGCCAGGACAGTGTTAATTTGTTTCTTGTACAGAAATCTAGTTCCCAGCCCTCAGTCTGAGACCTCAGTTGTCTACCAGAATTCTTGAGCTACTGGGAGATGAATCGTCCAACAGCATCTGCAGAGGAAGAACAGAAATGTTCTGTGGAGAGAGATCCAGTTCTAAAGGTCTGAAGTACCTGAAGTACTGTGGCCCCAGTGTTACACTGTACCTCCGGTAAGGGAGAGAACCGAAGGATCCAGGTAATGGGGTCAACTTCTTGCTCTGCCAATGCATGAAAGCAGCTTTGTAGGCTACTATGCAGGGAGTGTCACCTTCCCTGTGCAGTATCTTCCATCCCTTTGTAGTGGGTTGTGTTGGTTCCACCTCCATGGGGCTGCTCACAAGAATGAGAAGGCCACAGGGTTTGAAAATGGAACGCATTCAGTAAAGGAGGAGTAAAGAATAATGTCTGGCTCTACTCAGGATACTGAGAAGCATATATTTTATAAATAGATTATACTAGATCTCTGCTTTGGCTTATTGTACGACTGTTCCTTGTTTTAGGTTTAGGTAATCAAAATAGACAAATGAAATAATTAAAAAGAACAGTATTTAGCATTTAGATAGTACATTATCAAAGGCTGTTAGAAATGGACCGAGTGCTCCAGCAGGCCTTCTCTATCTCTTATCCTGGATCTGGAAAATCACAGTCAGATACAGTATTCCAGAAAAGTGAATGGTGCTTCTTGTTCAGTATTACCATCTTTTGGAGACCCTCAACAGCCAGAAAAAGCCCAAACCATTGCCAAATACATGCAGTTTCACTGTACAGAAGAGACAGGGGGAGAAGCTGCACTGAAGTGTCCACTTGCCTCCCTGCATGTTGCTGAGCCAAACAGCAGAGCAGCTTTTACAGTATTATGGAAAGACAGGAGCATAAACATGGCCAATGGGTGTGTGACTTTGCTGGCTGCAAAACCTGTCCAAAAAGATGTACAAATGAGTGTGGCTTCTCTCTCACACAGACACATGCACACGCACTCCCTTCATCCCCATTCCCTTGCCCCTACCGCCCCTGGGCTTCACACAGAGAACTTCACTCTCAAGAAGGCAAAGCAAACCTTACCTGGAATTGCCAGGTTTCTAAGTGCACTCAGTGCTGCATGCTGCACAGTTACATTTCCATCTTCCACATGTCTGTCTAGTAGATCCATCAGCTTTTGAACTATGCCATTATCCACCATGTGGATGCAATTTCCATCTGCATGAGACAAGCCAAGTCACTTGTGGAATACTGAGCACTATCTTGAGTGAATAATGCCTTCTCAGCATAGCAGTCCAGTTTTCCCTCTTCCCACTTTCACAGTTCAGGTAAATTAGAGCATTTGACTGCCTGTATCAACTGCACTAACAGTAGCAATGCTATACTTAGTGTCATGGTATGAAGAATTAGAAGATATTAATCCAATATACCCAGTACAGTACACTACACACTGTTAAAATTATTTGAAGTGTGTCTTGCATAACAATTACTCAGGTTTAAAAACAATCCTTAAAAAGAGTGACAGAATTTCTTTAATTTTATGTCTATCTTCAATATTGAAAAAGAGAGTTTGGAAAGCAAAGGTAGTATCTTCCAGAAATCATGATGTATAAGAATAATTATTGATTTCCGAAAGCCAAATTCAACTAAAATCTCACCACAACAGCATTCTTCACCTTTTTCATGTGTTGTGTGCAAATAAATTAATGTGAATTATTATGGCATATCCTTACCATTTCTGGCAAAATTTGCAATGGCCAGTGCACCTGCAAGCTGTAGTTGATGGTTATTGGAAGGAATCCATGAAAGCACCCTTTGGAACACGCTCCCTTTTCCTCCTTCAAATAATTTCTGCATGGATTCATCTGGAGGCAAAAAGTGTAGATGGATGACAAGCAAAAGAAATGCAAGTGTTATACCAGACTCTTCTGCCTGTTTATAATACTGACCTTCCTATAATTGTTTTCAATTTACAGGGTACAAATCTGGCCTATTAAAAATAACTAGCTAGCAAGTTTTTAAAGTTATGAAAAAGATATACTCAATATATCTAAAGTAAAATTAATCTGTCAAGTATGACACATGTCCTGTTTTGCAAAATGTACTAATACACAATACTCACCTCCAAGTAGTAATAAAACCATAAGATCAGAGGCTGTTTTAAGCTCAGCAATGTCATCCTCTTTGTCACTGTCTACAGTCTTCTGGACAATCTCGAGTAGGCATTCAACCAGACCTGCTTCAACCAGTTGCAGCTTAATGATGTCTAAAGAATATCATGAATACAGGTGTTGAGATTATGAGTTAAAATATATCTATCACATACACACTACATGTGCTATTAAGAAGAAGCAATATAATCTCGAGTTTACTGCTGTTTGAAAGTGTACCTGGGAGCACAGCAAGCTGAGCTGGGCTGGCGCAGCCTTGGTTGGCAGGGGGCTCAGGGGATCAGCCTGTCAGCCCAGGGCTGCTTCCCCCACAGCTCAACATGCTGTTGAGGGGCTGACAGGGCAAGGGAGCTGGCAGGCAGCCCCCACACTGAAGCACCTTTGTGCCCTGGCTGCTGCAGAGTTTTTTACTACAGGATACAAATACTATTCTGCTGTGGAGTATATCAGTTTACCCCAACCTAACGGGCACACGTGTAGACACAGAGACATTTACTTCCCAGCTAATTAGTCTACTGTGCAGTAAATGTCTTGTGTAGACATATGCATACAGTAGCAATACTGAGGAAATAGGAAGTGGGGAAGATATTCAGTATTGTCATTTGTTTTACTGTCTGCCTCTGTACTCCAGTCATAATAAAAATAATTTCAGTTTGAACGGCTAAAAGCTATAGCTCTAGTTTCTTGTTAACACCAGGGTCAAATTCTGCTCTGTTACATTGGAAAGATTTCCCCTATAACTGAAAGTAAAGCTGAATTCCAAGTGCCCAAAAGAGATTTCCTCTCTACTTTAGCGGTAGATAATAATGCTGCTTCAAAAGAGAAAGATATAATATATTTTAAAAATACAGATTGGATTCCTGTAGGGATTTGAAAAGCAATGTTTAAAAACCAGTAACAGATGCCCCTTAAATTTCTTACTTACTACACAGACAAATATTGAATGGAAAATAACAGAGAACAGAATCAATATGATATAAATAATTTGTAACCATGCACTAAAAAATTGTTTTGATGTGGTCCACCAGTCATACTATCAAGGCTAGCTTGCTATGAAGGCACAATCCTATCTTTCTCTAGAAACAGTCGACTGTTCTTTTATATTAAATGTTAATTGATGTTTGTGTTACAGTTGGACCCAGAGGCACCAAATGGACTTGGAGGCCTCCTGTGCTAGGAACTATACAGGACTGCCTTCTGTCTCTGCCTCTAAGTTATTTCAATGCCTAGTTTCTCAGCCATCTCCGTGGGTAAAGAGTAAGCTTGTTCCATACAGCCATGTAAAAGGAAATTATTACTCCCTTGTGGGGACACAATCTATTGCCATGAAAGGAACTTGGAATACTTGGAAACTATAAGTTTATCGGGGTGACCACCAGGATCTGGGGGAATGTTTGTTCACCAGAACGCCCCAAGGGATGATGAGGTCGAACAGTCATGAACTACTGTGAGACCGTTTCAGGCTGGACATAAGGAAGAATTTCTTTACTGTCCGAGCCCCCAAGGTCTGGAACAGTCTGCCATCAGAGGTGGTTCAAGCACCTACTCTGAACACCTTCAAGAGCAAATTGGATGCTTATCTTGCTGGGATCCTATGACCCCAGCTGACTTCCTTCCCTTTGGGTGAGGGGCTGGACTCGATGATCTTCCAAGGTCCCTTCCAGCCCTAATGTCTATGAAATCTATGAAATCTATTTTTAATATCTGTGAAAATGTCATGACTAACAAGAAAGGGAAAGGACTCATTAATCTCTAGTTTTTCAAGTATTAACTAGCAGAAGTGAGGAAATATGCAGTCCTGATCATGTTTTACACTCTTGCATGGACTAAATGCTAGGTGTAAGCTCTCTGGGACAGCATCTAGTATAGTCAAACCGTGGTCTATGACTGGGGCTCCTAAGTAGCAGGCAACCATTAATCCTCTGGATATAAATATAAATATTATATTATATTGTATTGTATTACTTTATTATTATTATTATTAGCATTACTTACTGAGATTTTTTTAAAAGGCAGGCACAAGAGTGAACTGCACTGAAATTAAATCTGCAATTGGCAATTGTATCTGTTGTGCCTGGGCTAGAAACATAGGGCGCCTATGTAACTATAGTGTGTCGGAGTAGACTCCACCATCTTGTGTATCAGCATCCCCATGCTTAAAAATGCCAGTAGGGGCGCTTTAACTAAAGCTCTTGGAGTTGCTCTAATTAAAGTGCCCTACCCCACCATGGCATGTCTATAAACACCCATAAAGTTTGATTTGAAGTGCTACATGCTAGTGAAAGCTACAGGAAGAGAGACCCTGTCAGGGCCTTCCTCCAGCCTTAGAATTGCAGTGCCCTTGTACCTCTCACCCCTAAGGGGCATGAATATTTGCCCAGTATATCTTTGTTGTTGTTGCTTCACCCTTGCCCTTGCCTCTCAAATCATCTTTCCACAGTGGAGCAAAAGCCCCTTGGAACTATCCTCCACCATTTTCAAATAGTGTGAACCCCCTGTGGGAGCTCCTTCAATCCTGACCTCCAAGCCTGTGCAGCAGCATCACACAGGTAGCGCTCCATTAGTGCTTTTCACAGGCCTTGAACTGTGCTAAAAACTGCTAAGTAAAACAAAACTAGGGCCCACATGTGACTTTCACATGCAGAAACATCATTGCTGGCAATGGGAATGTCTGTATGCAAATGTGAGTGCCCTGTCATAATCAATGACAAAACTCCCACTGACTTCAGTGGAGCCAAGTTGACTCCCATTAAATCTAGGGATTACAGCAGCAGGAGCAGGGCCAAAGCCACTTTCTGAATACCGAGCTGGGAGGGTAATCTATTCCTTGCTGAAGAAAGAAGATTATTGGGCCATATTCTGTTCTCAGCTACTGAAGTCAATGAGATGCAACAAAAAGGAGGCTCATAAGATGTTGGGTTCTGTTTCTAGCTGAAAAAGTCTCTCTCTTCCCCACCCCTACCTCCTCAGTGCCTGATGTCCCTGTCTATATCATTGGAATAATGGTGCTTTCTAAGCTCAGAAGTCAAATTTGTTGTATGAAGATATTTCTGTTACTGTTTCTGTATTGTCACTGGTCCTATAGGAAAGCATATAAATAAATGTGTTCAGTTGAGTTACACCAGTAACAAATTTGGCCCATCCCTTTTTAGAGTTTTTTCTAGAACCGGGAATTTTGAAGGTTATGTTTCAAAAGATCTGGGAATGGTCATATGCTGAGGGACAGTGACAGGCCACCCCATCTTCACCTGCCTTAAAGGGTTGGTCTGACTTTGTCCATAATATAATGCTTTTGCTTCATTTGTAAAGTTTTGCTGTTTGTGTGAAAATTCAATGTTTCTGTCAGAGCTACTGATCTGCTCATGAACCTTATGCAAAGAGACCCAAAATGTTCAGTTGCGAGGTTTTTTTTTAAATAGGTACTTTTGCACCAAGCTACTTTAAAAACTATGATGTTCCCTTGGTTACAGAATACTAGGTTGCCGGTGTGTTATGATTGGAAATAAAAATCATTGCACTAGGACTCTTAAAAGAGAGCTGACTGCATGCATGCTTCATTTAAATGTTCTAGCCTGCTGACATGCTCCCCACTCACACAATTAGAGGTGGCTAGATGATATAACCATGACAGGCTTACTGTGATAGCACATATCAACATGCTTTGAATAACAGCAAGGGGCATTTAGTCGACTGCCTCCTAACACGCACCAAATGATGTTACCTTCTACAGCGGAGCCTACTATATTTTACTCTGACTACAAAATACAGCCTTTATACAAAAGAATTAAATTTAGTGAATTATAAAAATATATCTATCAAAAACCAGATCAAATTCTTGTGCCACACTGCATAGTGAGAGCTTGAGTGACATGTGTCCTGTTTTTGAGAATGCAGATGTATTTCTGTGAACTTAATTTGTATTCTGGCTTTGCAATATGAACCGATGCATTCTGTCAAAACACGCATTATTAAACAGAGAGGCAAATAGTGTTTTTATCCATTGCTGGTAACAAGAGAAAAAATCTCTGCCAAAAATATACTTTTCTTCATGTTTTGAAAATAAAGGCCCTAACTGGCCGAGTAGGACATCTGAAGCAGAAGTAGCCCCCTAAGCAGCAAAACAACATACAATCCCAAGATTATTTTTTTCCAAAGCAAAAACTGTGAATGCCTTTTGACACTTCTGAATAACAATACTGGACAGGGTAACACATGGAGTGGGCAAGTAAGGAGCAGTCTCAGAACACAGGTCTGTCTCACACCTCAGTCCTGATCTCTTGTATCTGATATGCAGCTGATGTTGTTTCTTGTTTCCTCTTAAGCACAGATGGTAAATCATGCAAACTATGTTGGTATCTCTTGAGAGCAGATGTGCTTAAAAGTTACTAGACTGACACAGAACAGCTCATTATCATTTACAGACTGAGGCAGAATTTGAACTCAGTTTCTCCTGAGGTTAATCAACTACAGGCCAGATGCCAAGGTCTTGGGCACATGCAAGTTAAGTGCTGCAATGTGTAAATTTTAGGAACAAAATCTAAAAGCCAGAGTTAGACATCTGGATGCCCTGGAGAGTGTACATGGACAGTCAGACATCTCTGAAGGACAATCTTAAAAACCCAAACAGTGAACTGCCTAGAGCTAGCTGACAGGCAATGTTAAACACAGAGATATAACTGATTTCTACCGTTCTCTCTGGAGCCTGTGCACTTGGGTTGGGGCTGCAGGCAGGCACCTCTGTCCACTCTGGATTTGGAGCCCCAAATTCTCTCATAAAAGTGGCAACCTACAACTGTTTTTCAAAGATATGACATAGTGTCAGAGGTGGGATTAGGACTCAGGCATTGCTGACCCTCAGGCATGTATGCAAGTGGTCAGGAAATCTTTACATTTTATTCTCTCTGCAGTTACTGGCAGACTTAGGCAATGCGGCATCTCCAGGAAAGATTACATTGCTGAGCGAGGTGACAAAATTCCTGCCAAATCAATATATTTTTTTTAACAACTGGCATACAGATAATAGTCTATGAGGGACAAAACAGAAATGATTGTGTTGCAAAAAGGAGGGTCAACTTCTCACCATTTTCTGCCAGAGGAGCCAAAACTTCAAAAATCATCTCTTTTTTGTCATGTTCTATTTGCTTCTTGAATAGTTTTACAAGCTCTTCAGCAATGTTTGTGTAGGCAAACTGTTCTTTGCTTGATTCTGTGAAGGAAAAGGGAAAATTGAGTACAGAGTAAACAAACCAAGTCAAAAGGTAGAACTGTTTTCTCTCCTCTTCACTACCAGATTTATTTAGTACAATGATTAATAGGCCTAAGTGCTCTTCACAGACAAGAACAATACACGCCAATACTCATGCTTGTCATTAAATGAAAAGGAAAAATGTCTAGGGCTTTAAGATAAATGTACTGACCTAAATTATTAATTATGTTCAAGGCCGTTAAAAATTTGCACCAGCAGAATGTAAAAGTATCCATAGCAACAGTAAAATTACAAAGATATAAATTAAGACTGACTGCCTTCAGAGTAACAAGAAAAATTACACGTTATGTACTGAATTTTCTAGGCCGAGATAAAAGGTCAGACTGAGATCTTTAATATTTACATGGTTGCAAGGAGGTGGCATTTACTTTTGAATTTTTGAACAGATAAAGCCACAAGGCCAGATTTTCTTCAGTGAACAGGGCTGCTTCACTGCCAACAGTCAAAAAGCCCAAGGCTGAATCACTTCAGTCTTCACAGGTTAGTTAAAGCTGCGTAGATTGAACTGATAAGCAAGTGAACATACATTCACTTTTGATTCTGGAAATGCAGCCATGTCTGCAGTGGCCCAGCCCAGAAGCTGGGGCTTGCAAAAGCCCACCTCCCTGCTTGGCTGCAGCAGACAGTTTGGGCCAAGGCTAGCCTGCCTACCCTGCTGGGGAGTGGGGGAAAGGGAGAGGTTTGCAGGCAGAAGTGCAAAGCATCCTGGGGGACTGTGAGTGAACTTGAATCAGGAAGGATCTAGGACAGAAGTTCAATAACTGATTTAATTTTAATGAGTTAAGTCTAATACTACATCTGTACTGGTTTATCTTAAATTGGTTTTGGCCATTTTGAAAGTGGTTTATGTGACCTGAACTTCTGTTGTGTTACAGATTTAACCAGTTTCTGATTACTTATACTGGTTTATGTGTAACTTC